TTTTAATCATGTACCCATCCCTCATAAATTTCCTATTCCCTCATACTCTATCTTCCACACTAACAGACATAATAAGGGGCCCACAGGAGTGATTCTGGGAAATGCCGTTTCCAAGAGCTGTACAAAGTAATTTCTTAGAGCCAGCCATAAAAGGGGATGCTTACTTGTGTCTACAGATGTGCCATATGACATACTTGTTGAACAAAACTGCAAAGCACATCTCACATCTGTTTTCCTCCTTCCCAGATATCATCGAAAGTGTGACATATGAATGTGCTCTGTTCCTGATACTTTTCATAGAAAAATAATCATTCTGGTTTCATAATGAGTTAAAACTAGCACAGGCTTACATGATAAGTTCGAAGCCAATGCTGACTACATAATGAGACACTGCCTGAAAAAGAAACATGGAATAGTCAAAAGAGAGAAAATGCTAGGTGATAGGGGCAGACACCTTTAATCCCAGCATGTGGGAGGCAGATGCAGGCAGATCACTGTGAGTTCAAGGCCAGCCTGGTCCACAAGAGCTAGTTCCAAGGCAAGCTTCAAACCTACAAAGAAACCCTGTCTCAACAAACAAAAAAAGAAAGGGGAAAGGAAGGGAGGAAAGGAAGGAGGGAGTAAGGGAGAGAAAGGAAGAAGGGGGGAGAGAAAGAGATAAATGCTTACTTACTGGTCCCAGGGCTACTATTGAAATTATGGGCTGGTGGATAGGCTGGTGCACACACAATCACTATTACAAAGCCACAGGCAGGCAGATATCTGACTGCCCACACAGACCCCAAATCATACTCAGAAATGTTGTTACCCTCTTTTGAGATCAAAGATAAATATTGCCTTTTTGTTTTAAAGAACCCAGTGTTAGAGCTGTACATTGTGACCCAGGCCCATAATCGCAATTCCTAGAAGGCAGGGGAAAGATAATCAGAGGTTCCAGACTAGCCAGAGAAATTTAGTGAGGTACTCTGAAAACAAAATGTGAAATGAAGGAGAGGGAATATAGCTCAGTAGTACAGTGCATGCCTAGCACTTGGGAGGGCCCTATGTTAAATCCCCAGGACTAAAAATAAAATTAACAAAAGAGTTCTGAATGTACTATGTATCAGTTATATAGCAAATATTTTCTTAACCAGGTACCTAATTAGGCACAAAACAGGGACAAAATCCAGGGAACAAACAGATATTAAATGATTCTTAGCTACATTTCAAATATTGTGATAAGACACCATGACCAAGAGTTTATTTGAAGTTTACAGTTTCAGGGTGTTAACATTCCTTGAGATCATGTCAGGGAGGAGGGCCATAGACAGGTATTCATGGCACTGGAGTAGTAACTGAGAGCTCAAACCTTAAGAAAAAAACTACAAGGTATAGGGAGTTAAAACTGCGGGCATTTGAAACTTCAGAGTGTGAGACGCTGACTTTGCAAACTCTATTAGAGGATTCATTTTAAGCCATATAATGAGTGGGGGGAGTGGAGATCTCAGCTCCAGAAATGTTCTGCAATTTGTACGAATATCCTGAAAATTGACAATTAAGGAGCTAAGGAGCAGGGTCATAAAATTTAACAAGGTACAGGTAGTTTCTGGAACCCTGTGCCCTCCTTACCCAGTTCTAACATGACAGGACAGGAACTCTCCCGACTATGGCGTTTCCCCTTTAAAAGTTCTCCCCTTCCCCAGGCCAGGCACTTCCCTCATCCTCTTGGTTGTTATACTGCAGGTATTGTTCAAACTAGAATTTATATATTAGAAACATTCGTGTTTCACATCAGAATCCCATTCCATGGATTTTCTTTTTGGGGGATCAGTATCTTGGGCACAACAAAAGCATTCTTCAGTGACACATCTCCTCCAACAAGGACACACAGCCAAATTCACGCCAAACAGTTCCGCCAACTGTTGGCCAATTATTCAGAAAAAATGAGTCTGTGGGAATCATCCTCAAAATATCACAAGCAACTTATCAGAGGATGGTATGAAAATACAGTCTTTGGCAAGTTTCACGGAAAACATGTAATCCGACAAATGCACAGAACAGAGAATCTTCAAGGTAAGGATGAATTAGGCAGTTTTCCCCAATAGCACAGCCTCAGCAAAAGGACAGGGAATTGTCAGAAACCAGCTTTGACAAGTATACCACTTACAAAGTTAGGGACATGGGCATTAGAAAACACAAGTAAAAAGTATGAAGATACAAGTAAAAATAATAAAAAGGGAAAACATAAGATGGTACTGGAAGGGAGTTTCAGTGAATACTGAAATTCACTTGTGTTTAATTTTCCATAAACTTTTATACCCCAATACAACAGGGGGAAGAAGACAAAAGACTGTTTTAACATGATAAAAAGGACAACTAGAACAGTTATTTGCTTCAATACTTTGATCCATCAAGCCATTAATCTATGAGAAAACCGTTTTGTTGTTTAGGCAGTGAACCCACACTAGACCAAGTATCCTGAAGGCAGTCATTCCCTAGGTCAAACTCCTAATTCAAAATAAGAAGCATAAGTATGCTTGAATTTCCTGACCTTTGGCCATCTTAACATCAAAGGGACCAAGCAACCACACTGTGGGTCAGGATGTGTGGCCCTAGTTGCTGTCAACCATTTTGAGCAACCTTAAACCCTCTGACCTTCAGACAATTATCTAAGCCCATTTGACAAGTAAGTTAGCCATGGCTCAGACCCAATCATGTAGTTTGTCTGTGGAAAACAAATATTTGAAATTAAAACTTAGAATTTGCTGTCCCATTATTTTATTATAATTTTTGAGACTGACTTTCACTAAATCATTCAGATTGGCTTGGAGATAATGATTCTTCTGCCCCAGCCTCCTCATTTTCTGGGAACACAGGCCCATGCCATCCAACCTGACTTCTTTTATGTTTTAAACAAACCTGGGTGGCTTCATGACTGGGACAGGAAAATGGAGTAATAAGTGTGGAGGCAGAGGCTCTGTTTCTCCTCTCTCTTTATATTTCTCCTTGATGCTTGTACTAGACCCTGGGAGACAGAGTGATTTGCTTTTCACTTTAATTAGTACAGCAATTTGCTAAATTTTGTTTTTGCCTTTATGTTCTTATGTGTTGATCAATTTTACCTCAGAATAGATTGGAATGACACACAAATTATGAGAATCACCAAATGCAAAACATCTTGATCAACCTCAGAGCCTAAAATACGTGAAAATCAGAAATTCTAGCCTGCATCAACATGATCAATCTATTTAAAATGTTATTACTTTGAAATAAAATTATAATGGTTTTGTGGCTCTAAAAAGAATCTATTTTCCAGAATCAGTCCCAGGTATCTGGCACTAGGTATCTGGTCCTTCCCAAAATGCTTAGAATAGAAAGTCAGTGGTTTCCTTCAAAGCTATAAGTTCCTCTAACAATAGCAGTATGCTAAACCTCCTAGTATATGGGACACCTACCATGCCCCACCTCTCAGAAAAATAAAAAAAGAAGGCATGTTCTGATCTTCTTACTTCATTAAAGAGGTACTACTAGACTCCAATGGCAGGCTCATCATTTTAACACTGTGACACAATATGGTCATTTGCATATTACATGCTCAAGATTTATGCAAGTGTTTTACAAAAAAATAAGAAAAAATTTTAAAAAATGTAATACATACAAACACAACTTACCATGTTTTAAGTAAGTTTACATTTTGTGTTATGATGCATTTATAGCTAGATACCTTTGGCTGCATGAGGTCTAAGAAACACAGACTAGACAAAATGCTGAAAGACAAGTGGACAGAAAGTTTCTTGCTCTTTCTTGGAAAAGAGAAAGGAAACCAGTGCCACTGAGTATAAAAGGATGGGTGAGATTGTGACAAGATATTAGGAGAGAAAGTTTGATAGAGGGAACAGAATATGCAAAGGAGTGCAACACTGGAGAGAAGCTACATATTAGGTATCTTCTAATAGTTATGGTTAAGTGTTAGGGAGTTTATGGCAATGAGTAGATGCTGTGGGAGCTCCTTACGCTCCTTCAGCCAATAGCCTTTAAGATAACAGCCTACTGGTATCTTATACCTTAAAAAGCAGTGGGAACCTGGCGATCTCTCTCTTGGTTCTGGCTCCCTTTCTGGCGACTAGACTCTTCCTGTTTGCAATGAGAGGACTGTTGTTTGGGATAGTGATCTGTAAATTTTTCCCCTCAAATAAATAACCCTTTTTATTATCCCTAATTCTTAACTGGTGTGTGATTGTTTTGCAGCTTCAAGTAGAGATAGATAAGAAGTGGACTTGGGAGCCCTAATCAGTCAGTGGTCTTTAGACCACAATCCCAAATATCATGCAGGTGGCACTAAAGAAGAACTTGAAGCAAAGGAATCAGATGTCCACATGAATTTTATTAGTTGAAAAGTTTGTAATGCAGTATTTATTCAGCAATTCTTCTTGAGGCATAAGCATATATCCTTTCATCAGAAACTCCTACCCCCAAACTTAGGATTGTAACATTTCTGTCCCTAAAGACCCAGGCCACCATGGGTAGGTGGTTGATGTGTGTTTTGTGATCAGCAGGTAACAGTACATACAGTTAAGGCAAGATCTGTCACTCTAAGGTCAATGTTCACCTCAGTGAACAACAGAATGATTATCTACCATTGTACCAGGGACCATATTCAGATAGATCCTGAGGTGAGTGAACTTCAAAATGTTCACCTCAGTAAACAACGAAATGATTATCTACTATGGTACCACAGATCATGTTTAGATACAAACCGAGGTCAGTGAACATCAGCTTCTATGGAGTTCCTTGGTATCTAGAATTGCCCAGACCAAAGTGGATTGTGTGTTAGAAGGTCAGTTTTGCTAATACATTGCTTAATGATAAATTCAGGTAAGAAGAGTTACAACCTGAACATGTCCTACTAGGAGGTGAGGTCTGTGTTCTTATTATAGTCCAATAATTATGCACAACAGAGGTTCCCAGTTGCAACAGATAAGAGAAACTCTTCTCCCTTTCTCACTTCTTCCTTTCCATACCTTGAGCTCATCAGCATTATAGAAGTCCACACGCACTGCAGGTACCATCCAGGTTTGGAAGAGCGTAGCCAGGATCTGCTCCGCAATAGAATCAGCAATGAGGTGGAAATGCAGAGGGTTCCGCCTGTGGAATAAAAAGGAGAATTCCAAAAAAGCATTAACGGATTTGAATCTTGTTGCAAAATCACCCCTTTCCAAGCTGATGATGTGGGACAGTGTCACAAGCCACTCTGGAAATAAATCAGGCATGTAGCTCCATAGTGCTTTTTGATGAGGATTTTAGAGATGCAAGAGAGAGAGGACATCTCCGTCAACCTCTGCATTTCAGAGTGTAAACAACCAAGCACCACAGAAGGCAAGATCCAATTCTCACATCTGTTATGAGGAAATCTGGATTCTAAGAATCTAAAGTAGGACATATTTAATAATTGCTTCAATCATTGCATCTTCCAACTTGACATACCATCATTAATGCAGAAACACAATGACAGCAGGCCATGTCTTAAGCAGTTGTGGATGGCTGTCAACATACTTCCCCAGTAACTCAAAGACAGTTGTGTTTTCTACTTGTTCTTTTCCAAAATAAGGCTATGTTTGCATGCCAAAGTCATCTGGAGCTTCACTGAGGATACAAGCTTGCCCCTTTTGTCGTGGGTAAAAGCCTTGTGGTCACTCAACTGTCTACGATGACCAGCCCTTACAAGACAGCTCGTGATAGTATGACACAAAGGCAAAGATTCTGGGGGCTTCAGTGGCTTGAATATAAAATGCCCCTTATGTGCTTGAATACTTGGGCCCCAACTGGTGGCACTGTTGTGGTAGGACCTTTAGGGGTAGCGTTTTGCTGAAGTAAGTGACTAAGAGTAAATATGAGTTTTTAGAACTTAAGCTCACTTGCTGTTCATGTTTTGCTTGTGCACCTGCCTTCCCCTTCATGATGAAAGGCATCCCCTAGGATTTTTCGGCAACTTCAAGCCATAATAAACTATTCATTTCTTAGGTAGATTTTGTTAGGGTATTTTCTTACAACTATGTGATGAGTAAAAAGTGCCAGAAACCAGAATCAGAAGAAGAGTTGGTTGTAATGTATGCTTTTGAACATAATACAGAATAAATCCTTCCTTCCTTAAACTGATCTATCCCAAGCCTTTTGTTGTAATATGAAAAGTAATCAATACAAGGAAAAGTGGAAATGAGTTATAAATCTTTCTACAGCATTTCCTTCTTGACTCTGATAAATGGTGAATCAGCCTGTCTCCATTTTAGGCTTAAAACTCATTCTATAATAAAAACAAAATAGGTCCATTCCTGTTTATAATTAAACCTCTATTTCTCAAGGATTGGGCTATGATCCACCAACCTTAACTACAAATGATTCTGTACAGCCTATTCCAGGAAACATCAACCATGCCTTTGTTTCAAAGAAAAAAATTACTAGACTATCTATGACTACCTTGCTATGACTTCTTATTGTTATTTATACCTTGTTATAACCACCTTCCAACTACATCGTTGTTTCAGGATGTTGTTATAATTAACTTCTTATGATTATGTTCTGCTACGATAACCTGCCATTTTTGGGAGCTGCGGGGGTCTTTCAAGACAGGGTTTCTCTGTTGCTTTGGAGCCAGCATTGCAGAAATTAAAGATGAGTAAACCATTGCTTTCCCTCCTGCCTCACTTTCTTATCTTGCAAGGAAAGTGCCAAAAATCCCACAAGGCAATCCAAGGATTGTTTTCATTAAAAATACAAAAGGCCAGTGGAACACAAATAATCTTTATTTATTAGGTTTACAACACAACATCAACTTTACACAAAGAAAAGAGCCAGTGATGGCACTGGTAGTCCTCTGTGAATCGTTGACACATAACTATTTCAGAGAGAATTCCGGCACTAGGGATATGGGGTCAGAGCGTTCTTTAATTGGAGGAGGCAAAATGGCTTCAATAATATGGGAAGATTCACAGATAGCTTAATAAAGCACTTTACTAGATAAAGGATAAAAGAACAACTCTCTAGAAAAATCAAAAGAACATCATGGATCCTAGATATTGGCAGGGCCAAGACTAGAACTGATGGACTAACAACTACTCAATGGTGACACTAAACTTTACTAGAAACCTGGATGCCCAGGCTTTTAAATTCTTTGTGTATGCAATATTTGGCACCTCACAAGTACAAATCTTATGGCGAGAAAGATAATGATGACATTACAACAATGATATCTACACCTCCAACATAAAATGATGATGAAAAGTAAAATGATGGTAATGATATTAAAAGCAGGAAACTCCTTGCTTCTGAGTAAAGACTCAGAAGTCAAAAGACTGACATTAAATTTGACTCTGTCTATATCCTGGACATGTGATCCTGAGCAATGGCTTAACCATCTTGGTCCTCAGTTGTATTGTCTGTGAAAGAGGGGTTTACAACAGCACCTTCCTTCAGCAGGCACAGAACGGGGCACATTAGTATCCTGACAACATTTAGAACAGAATTTGGTGTAGGGAGATAATGACAGCAGTGTTTGTTGAATAGGTAAACAGTAGAATATCTCTGTATTCTATACTTCATACTATACCATAATAAGTATGATAAAAATGTAGGCAGGGTATTGTGGGCTATAAACTAGGTGATTAAACACACACTGAGAGTTGTAAGGAGGCATTCTGTTATAGTTAGTGCCAGTGTGGAATCTTAAAGGTAAGAAGACAACTGATGGCTTGGGATTAGGGAAGGAATGGGTTGACAGGACATATGACAGAGAAAGTAGGGAGCTAAAAACAGGCCAGAGTGGCAAAGCATAACAGCACCACAGACACAAGAAGAAAACATTATGAAGAATGTATTGGTGCCTGATTGTCTGACTATTGGGATAATAAAGTTCTAGCCTCTTTAACACTGATAGAATAGATCATGAATAGATTCTGCAAGATCAGACATTCCTTTCTGAAACACCATTCTTGAGTAAGAGAGGATGGATATAAAGAACAGAAATCTGGGAATCAAGAATGGTATATGCAGGTTACAAACTAGTGGGCCAGAGCTTAATGGGAAACAAAGACACAACCTGTCATATCTCCAAGAGGGAGCACTGCATGCTACCACAGACAGAAGGAATGGTTGGGAAACTGAGACAGAAGGTGGGAGAAAAGCTATATCCACATTCTTGCAGTGTTGATAGATCTAGGTGGTGAATTTGAGTGACTATGCTGTGTTCTCTACTCGGGTGAACTGAGAATTATTCTTAACAGGTTCCTACTACAGAGAATGTTCAGGATCCTGACTCAACCATCTCATAGGCATTTCTGTCTCTATTATGGGTTGTAACTAGAGATGAACTTTATCCAAATCTCTGATGAGAAGTCAGAACAGGGCATTGCCTGGAACTTCAGACTCAGTTCTAGATGTGACCTCAAATATTTCCAGGTAATAAACTTGAATATCAAAGGGAAGGAAGAAAGGTCCATAAGAAAGCAGAAGCATAGAGAAAAGATGATGCCTCAGAGGTATCCCTACTTCCAAGTGGAAAAGAACCAAACTGATCTAATGGAGATCCACAAGGGCTACCAGATATTACCTTTAGTCTTACATAAAGAAGGATTTCTGACAGTCAGAAGTACCCAGAGAATGGGCACGTCAACCTGGGGTAATATTTTATAATAACCAAGTGCCATAGCAAATTGAAACAACTGACTAGCTGTAACAGAAATTCAGTTTGCCACAGTTCTAGGAGATGGAAGGCTGAAGCCAGTGAAGTCAAGTTCCTTGCCTAGGTACTTTACAGTCTTCCTTCTGAATGTGTCTGTACTAATCTTATATTTTTAACACTAGTCATATTCGATTAGGGTCCACCATAGTGTACCTACTTTAATTTAATCCTATCTTTTAAAAACTTTATCTACAAACAGTCTTATTTCAAAGTACTAAGGGTTAAAACTTTAATATGAATTTTAGATGGGACGTGGTGCAGATCACAACATAATCCGACAACAGGAATATAGAAAAAGAACTGTGAGGTAGCAGAAACTGAAGCATCTAAGTTGGGATGTCCTTGGAGGCTCCCATAGTTCTAAAAGTTACAAATCTAAGCATGGCTTGGCAACACTAAATACCTGCGATTAAGCATTGTTAATGCAACATCCTTCCTCATATTTTGGAGAAAAAATACACTTTCACGGCAGTCTAAATGGGTCAAAAAGCACACTCTTCTATAGCATTGTCCAAGGCATTGTGCAGGTGGTCAGGGATACACAAATTCACAGGAGTACAAGCAAAGACTGTTCTTACCTGTGAAAGAGGACCGACTTGACCAAGGTGACAACATCCCTGCTGGCGTTGTATCCTGCACAGACAATAGCCACATGGATGGTCTGAGAGAAAAGGAAAAGAGAAGATGAAATATCATACAGATAGAAGCAGGCCTTCCTGCTTTGTAGGACCACAGGAGAGAAAAATCGTCCTAATTTCTTTTGGGGATCATGGATAATTATTTGAGACAGTTTTATTAAAGTCTTTTTAATCGGTTTATGGAGCTATCATCATTTGGAGGACACCAAGACTCGTTTCAATTACATTTTAGAGATGGCTGCAATAGTTATTGCGCAAATGGGTGATTCCCTAATCTTCAAGCCAGGAGAAAATGGCAATGGGCAAAAGAGAAGAAATGTGCCCTGTTGGACCAACAATCAGAGCTTTCAAACTGAGAAGTTATGGTTCAGAGTGCAAACTCACAAAATACATTTGTAAGTCTTAACATCTTTACCGTTGTTCAAATGTTCAGATCAAAGCCTCTTTTGAGAAGCAAGCCTATCTCGTAACTGTGAGGATTTATGAAATTAGAAAATGAATCAGACATTTCTAATATAAAGTGGCACAATAAATATTCTCATTTGAAAATGGAGTCATGAAAGAAAACAAAAGACAAACTAGACAACAGCAAGAATAAAACCAAGCAGGGCAAACAACAAAGGCTAAAGTTACTTGTCCAGCAACTATGACTCATGATGACATTACTTAGGTACAATATGTTCAGGAAGACCCATCCTGCCAGTAGAATTCCTTGTGGCAACTGTGATTTCCCCTTTAAACTACTTCTATTTCATACCTGAAGTTTTTCTTGGGGGTATATCTCTGGTTGGTAGCATTGCTAGTGTCTGTACTGCAAAATAGTTTGAACTTCACAGATTCATACCCATTCCTATTAGGCAGAGCACATAAAAATCTAACTCAGCAACACATTACCTCAAATAAGTGGTTTGTGGAGCGTTTGTTCAAGTCCTTATGACTGATTATTAAATTTTGCAGGTACAGTGTTGTTCTGTAATTGAATTACAAGTGACAAAAAAAAATCTCTTCATTCTCTTAAAGTTGTCAGTCAGGCACATTTAGGTTGGCTCTTCTCTACGGTTTACAAATTTTGTTTTGTTTTCTAAATTAATTTGGAATGGGGTGGGAATGAGGAGAGAGAAGGGGAAGAGAGAGAAGAAGAAACGGAAAGAGGAAAATAAAGAGGAAGGAAAAGAAAGAGAATCTCTCTCTTACCAAAGATGGAGAGCACTTGAGTATTCCCTGCTATCTAGAATCATGCTTTTGGCTGATTCCCATGTATCCACCTTGTCATTAACTTTCTTTTGATACACTGCACTGTACAGACATTGTCTTCTATTTCTGGCACATTTTAACCAAGACTGGGAATAAATTCTCTAGTTTAGTATGAATTTATTAAAACGTTATGATCTGTCAAAGAATGCAGAGTCCTTGCTTACCAATTTTGTCCCTCTTCTTGAAGCACAACATTCTTTGAGTTAAAACATATCTCTTAAAAGCCATTCCAAGATATTCTGTACTACAAGCCTTGCAGAAGGATGATCCTTCTAACACCTAATAAATAAAGTGAAGAATGGGTGCTTGACAGATGAAGTATTAGACTCTTTCACTGCTGCTATGATAACATAACCTAACAAATACCATTAAAGAAGAATGAGTTTATTTGGCTCAAAATTTGAGGATAAAATTCATCACTGTAGGGAAGTCAAGACTGCAGGAGCTCAATAGAACTAGTCATAATTTATCTAAATTCAAGAGCACAGAGCAATGTATTATTAATACATGTATACTAGTTCCTTGACCCTGTCTATATGCATAATGCCCAGAATAGCAAGTGAAGGAAATGGTGCTGCCAACAGTGGGCAGGACTTCTGACACCAACCACAATAATCAATACAATCCCTCACAGATATACATAGAGACTTTTCTCAGGTGATTTCAGAATGTGTGAAATTAAAAATTAAAACCAACCCTAACAATGGGCCACCTGACTACCTATGCTGTCACATCACAACTCCTCACTTCCCACTCTCCTGGGAAGCCCCTTCTAGATGTTCCTCTTCTACCCTGATCACACCACTAGATGCTTTGAGCAATGACTTCTGGCCAACAGGAATTCTTCACCACATTTAGTATACCGTGGGAACCACATGACATCAGGCAGAAACCATAAACTGTTCATCAACCTCAATCTACTACCCCCATAACTTCTCTGATCCCAATTACCTTCACTCACTCTGACCACTCCCATCACTCCAGTGTTAGGAGAACTTCACTTCATCAGAACATCACTATCTATTGTTATGTGGTTGCCACATCTACAAGATTTTTTTTAACTTTCTTTTTATTCATTTTTTGTGTCTTTCACATCAAGCATCTAGATTCCAATCATTTCCCCATCCCTTTATATCAACCCTCTGCCCTTGCTACCTCCCCATCAAAATAAAATTAAAGAGGAAAAAGAAAACAAAACAAAATCTTTTCACAGAAGCTGTAGTGTGACACAGTGAGTCTGGTGGTAAACCTTTTTACTCATATCTTGTTCACTGTAAAGAGTCATTGTGAAGGACCAGGAAGAATAGAGCCCAAAAAATTTGCAAAAAGAGTAGAGCCAAAAATCTAGGTTAGCCGGTTCAGTGATTCCCAGATTATAACCTTGAGAACAATCTTGAGAAACAGGGAGTTACCCCCTTGTGATTTTCACTAGTATTTTTGGAATTTCCCAATGATGCTCTCCCTACCCCTTTGGGTTATGGTTTCTTCCCTTAAATACCCCTTCTCCCAGCTACTCGGGGTCGAACTCCTCTACCCCTGTATGGGATATGAGTCTCGGCCCCAGAGTGCTGGTTCCTGTCAATAAATCTTGTGTGATTGCAGCAAGGACATCTCATGAGTTCCTGAGACTTGAGTGAGAGTCTCTCTACTCCGGGGGGGTCTTTCAATTGGTCTGGCTATAGGCCTTTGGTTTCTGCTATGCTGTGGATGCTGGGCCCTCACCGGGATTCTTCTTGGATATCATGTTATGGCCCTGTGTCATAAAGATCCTACAGCTTTGAGCCTGTAGGAGCAGCCCCTTTCACATGCTCCACCAGATCACAGATGGTGTGGATCTTGGAGTGGGTCAACTCATAACCCCGGTTCTGGGCCTGGGTAGTTGCAATCCACCATCTGTCCCTTGTTTTCACTAACAGGGTGAGGTCTCCCACATTGCCCTAATTAGTTCACCACTTGCAGCTTGAGCAAGTGGCGGGGTTAATCCTCCTGCTTTCATGCACCATCAGAGTCCACTCTACTGTATTGCCCTGATAAGGTGAAGGGCCTGCTCTCTTGTGTCCAGTAGCAGATGAGAGGCAGGGGCAGCTTTCCAGGTCTTTTGAACTCAGGGCCAGCTCTCCTACTCATCTCAGCTGTGAGGAGGAGGGGGGAGGGCATATCTCTCCTGCCCAGGCCACCATGTGGTAGATGAGGGGTGAAGTCAGATCTCTAATGCTCACATTCTGAGGGTGGCAAACCTGCATCTTCCATCAACATGGTCAGCTCCACTACATTGACCAGATGAGATACAGGGCCTTCTTCCCTGAATGTTGCAGCTGATAAAGGGGAGGGTCAACTCCTTAGCCAGCTGGAGGCAGTAGAGGCAGAAGGAGGAATCTATAGGACTCTGAGAGCCACTATAGCAGATTCCTCTGCTATAGATGTCCTACTTTCCAAACACACTAAAATAAGCTACCCAGCCCCGCCACATCTGGCCTCCATTGTTGCTCATCTAAACTGCCCTCCCGTTCTGTCCCCAGCCTCTTTCTCAACATGATTTCTACCAAAGACACAAGTCACTAATCCCAGGTATCTGTTGCAAGTCTCATGCCCTGCTCTTGTACCTGAGTGCCAAGAAAGATGAAGGGAAAGACAAGACATTAGTAGCAAGTACAATGAGAGGTGGCATCAATCCAAAAATGACTACAACCCAGGTTTTATGTATCATATCATATGAGCTTCAGTACACTTAAAACTCACAGCTGCATGAATCAAGTATAGTATTTCATTTTTCTATCACAGATAGGAAACAAGGGCCTGGAGAATATTATGGTTTGAATGTGAACTGACTCCTCCCTATACTGCGCCAAGTTCCTTTGCTTGAATAGTTGATTCCAAGATGGTGGCACTGTTAAAGGCTCTGTATGTTATTCTTCTGCTGTCACTTTAAGAACTAACCATGCCCACCCCAGCCACTTCTGACCTCGTAGCTATCTTGGTCTCTCTCTTTTCTGTCCGTCTCTTACTGTGTGCACATGTGTTTCTTTTCTCTCTCTATGTTTGTCTATGTCTCCACTTCTTTAAGTAATAAATGTTTAGCTTTATGTATAGCCTTATGTTTATTTACTCTGCCGTCCACCACATCCAGCCTCCTGACTCTGCCGCTCGCCCGGAGACCCTGACTCCCCCGGCTGCATGGCACTGCCACCCTGGAGATCTTGCAGGGACCCACAGCCACTAGCAGCTGCTCCGCGAGCTGCCCGGGACATCCCATCATGGTATTCTTTTTAAAAGAACAATACTGTAAGCTTCAGAAAGTGGAGTTCAAATCGAGGAAATAAAGAGTACAAGAATAAGAATATAGAAATGTAGGTTCTAGAAATAGGAATATAGAAATATAAAAATATAAAGTTGTGAGCCCAATCACATTTTGGGAAAAATAAATAAAGCTGGTAGTAACTGTTAACCTTTAACAAACACTTTCTGCCTTTAGAACAGACATTCTGGAAGCCACTGTGTATAGAGGTAAAACTTTTGTCCGCTGCCTCCCAGCTTCCCTGCTATGCAGGCATTAAAGACAAAGATTAGCTTCTAACTATTGCCTCTATGGGACCGTCTGATTGCCTTCCCTTAATTTTTAGCTGTCCCCCATTTGACTCTTCTCTCTGTCTTGCATTCTTTCAGGGACAATGAAAAGTGGCTGTGTCAGCCACAGACTTTGACAAACATCATAAGTTGACATCTTATAACCAAAAGTTGTAAAACTTAAAATGTAATGTGACCTCAAGGT